GAACAATGTTGTAACGGTAAGGAATTTCTGATAAACCCTTGTCAGGAAATTGCGATTTCCAACACGTTCTATCAAAAAGGCCCAGTTGATAAAACAGTCCTCAATATGGACTATCGAAAAGTTCCTATCGACTGATTTTTATACTATATATATACTATAATTACTGATTTTGATATTTTTCACCGTTTTCCAGATATAGGCCGTTGTAAAACTGCCGGCCCCAAATTTTGGACAATTTCGCTTCTACCTTTTTAGCGGTTGGCAATTTCTCAATTGACATAAAAAGTGCACAAAACGGTCTTTCAACTAAGACAACGGTTTGCAAAATATGAGGTTTTTTTAAACTCCAGACAGCGGAAAAGGGGCAAAGCCCTACTAGGATTTTCGATCTTTTTTACATCAAAATCGGGGCCTGAAGACGCTCTTTGTAAAGAATGAAATACTCCTGGCCGGTTATGGTAAAATCTCCTACAAGCAAGGAAAGTACACCACTCGATGATTTCGAATCAATTATGTTCATACGCATAATTGGTGCATATTAAGCATGACTGCGACATATTTTCGCACATAGTCTAATAAATTCTGCAAACAACAGGCAAATTATCTGAAATCCATATCAACGATTTAAATGTAGATTTACCGTAAAGTATGGTTATTTATCACCGTTTCTCCTATCGGCAATGTCAGTGAAAGGAAATTGATTTTATTAGCGCTGCGCTACTAAAAACTGGCTTCTTGATTTCCAATGCATGAAGAAAATTCCTATTTAACGGAACTGCACGTCTTGAGCCCATTGTTTAAAAGGTGTTCCAAATCTGCCGTTCAACAGGACACTGTGTAAAAAAATCAGTCTCCTTTAGAAATTGCAAGGGCTTCTAAACGATGGCTCTTAACAAGCTTCAGCCTAAACAAGCCCAAACCAGATTCGATCAGCAGCAACAAGATCTGTTAATCTCTGCAGTTAGGGGGACTGTTTGATCGACACATGCAAGTCCTAATTTGCTGCGACTGAACCCGCTCAGATTGCAAAATAAACGTAATCCGACACTGTACCATTACTCATCTTCTATCAACCACCCTTCGGAGGTTTTTTCATTAAGCATCCCCTTTGGCCATTTTAAAAGCATCCACCCTTAAAGGGCCCGGAAGACTATTTCGAAAAAACACACACAACATTCAGCTGCAGAGGATCGATTGGCCAGAAAGAGGATGTTCTACAAACGAGCGTCGTTAAATAAACTGTTAGAGTAACAAGAAATGGTTGCATTCATTCGACAACAAAAAACTACTTATGTGTGCACAATTGATGTTCGAGAAGCGCTGATTAGCTGATAACTGATAACGGCAGCAAACAAAGGATGATGTTGAGCGGTTTTTGGAAATTTCCCGATTTCCACTTAGGTTGCAACACTCTTTGTGAGTTTTTATCTCAATTATGCGCCAACTAATCAGGAAATTAAAATGACAATCACTCTAGTCGCCAGATTAGATAATTGCTTGCGTCTAGAATGGCCAAAAACCAGCACTGTTCAGGGCGTTTAGGCTGAATTTTTCAACTTCCTCAAAGCAATCAGTTGCTGCCTGCCACCGGTACGGACTTTACAAGAAAACAAATATAAATATTGAAGCAACTGGAGCGCGAATCAAACAGATTTTTGCGCTCCAAACAGTTCGACTGCAATGTAACTTAATTAATTAGTGAAACCCGATTGAACTGTTCGATTGGGATCTTTGCGGCTTCACTTTGCACGATTTTGAGTGAAACTAAGCCAAAAACTTTGCAAAAGGTCGCACACCCCTCGAGCGTTGCTTTCGGCGTCGGGACGTTTCGATCAATGTCTCCTTTATACCAGAAATTCGATGCTGCACTTTCTAAATATAGACTGTTGCAACAGTAATCAAACTGGCCAATTGCGAAAAAGTCTGAAGAAAACAATCACTGATCGATGTTTGAAAAACATTTTAAAGTCTGCAACAGGCGCAGGGGGGCCCTAAAACGTTGAACAACATTTGAACAATAAGGATTAGAATCTATATAGTTTGAGACTCTCTTCAGACCAGGCATTAGTTGGGATCAGATCACGACTACTTGCTTGAGCCCACAGGGTTTAGATACTTAGGTGTGCTTGGAAATAGTTGATATTACTAAACAATGATATCATTTTCCGCTTCCCGCAGGAAAATGGGTGCAAAACAGGGATATAGATAAGATAAGACCCAAAAACGATGCACAGGCTCAGCAAATAAGAGCCATAGTCCTACTGCGAACTCCACTCAAACTCTAGAGTTCCGTTTCAACCTCCCCAACACTATGAGGGCAAATGTTATAGATAACTTAGAATTTGTGAGTTTTCTTTGCATCGCAAAGTCAACCTCTCACAAGAGACTCGCAAAGCGTCAACTACAACTACTCAACGGCGGTATTAATAGACTTCCATTTGGTAGCGGAGGCTCGCAAAAGGCCCAGTCTTGAAATCGAAGCAAAACAGCCAAAAATACCCATTTCAAATGAAAAAAAACATCACTTACAGTGCAATCAAGTGGAGACCCCCACGTTGGACACAGACAAGTCGCAAGCTGACAGGGGGGTAAATCCTATCGTGGGGACGCGACACACTCACGCACTGCAATTTTCCAGGCGAAAACTGTTTACAAGTTCGCGCAATTTGGGAAAAACTGTGCAAAAACAATTCGAACACAACACACCGAAACGTCAAATCGCGGACTGAAAATCTGACATTTTGATTGTCTGAAATTAGCCGTGGAACATGTGGCGCTATCTGAGCAACGAGTCAGGGAACTTTACAGTGGGGGGACCGGGGAACGATCAACTGGACTGGATTTTGTTGGGCCATAGTAAATCGGTCTGGTCATTGTCGATTCGGTGAGCCTTTTGTGTTTGAATTTTTATTTTTTTAATTTAATACAACTGGAAAAGGAAACCCAATGGGACACTTTACAGGTTTTATTTCATTTTGTACATCACAAAGTTTAACAGTAATAATATAAATTACAGTATTATACAAAAAAATCGAATTCAGTCACCACAATGCACGATTTTCCTGCCTACAGGCAATCGATGAATGAAGCTGGCATGATTTTCTATTTACATGCTCTACAACCTTTTATAATCAACTTGTCTGAAATTTTTATCTTTTCCTTAAAGTACTTTCATTTTTGTTTTTGCACGTTTGTAAGGTCGTAAAAAATGCCGGTTTTTTAAAAAATCAATACAGTTTTTCAACCCCCTAAAACTTAGCCATAGAAACTAGCACAAACATCCAGTAGACCAATTAACATAAACTTTTTCTAAGGGAAATATTCATGAAAGCACTGATTTGCGGTCTTCGGTATCTGATTCGCGATAAATTCAACAGAAGTAGCTTGCAGAGAAAATCCTTAATTCCTCAATTAAGCCACTGACTAGGTTTAACTGTTTACATGTTGCGCATTTTACAAAAAACTGTTAGATTTTGAACTAAGCAAAGGTAAACGCTCGATTTTATCATCCTTAACAACGAAAGTTCCTTAATGCTGATAGGGAATGAAGTGATTCTTGAGCGGAGTTTAGGAAAAATTGATTTATGCAATTATGATGAGATTGTGTAGAAAAATGGAGCGTTGGATTGGTCAAATTTTCCTGCTATTATTTAGCACATATTTTCAACATTCTCTTGGTATTATCTGATGCGGTTTTATTGGGTGCAGAGTAAATTTTGGAGGTGGTTTTCCCGTGTCAAGACCAGAAATTTTCGGAAAGTACCAAAATAAAGTAAAATCACCAATTTTTTTACAAACTTCTTTTTGGGTATTTCGCCTCAAAAATTTTTGTCTTTAAAAAAGACACAATTTCCTCACGTCTTTTATTACAGATTGATA